CTGTGATATTTGCAAGAGCTTCTCACAGAAAACTAGTTTAGTATGGCACACAAGAGTACATACAAGGGAGAAACCATATAGCTGTGAGATTTGCAAAGAGGCCTCCGCATCTATAAGTGACTTGGTAAGGCATATGCGAGTACATGCAAAGGAGAAACCATACGGGTGCGAAATTTGCAACAAGTCCTACTTACGGAAACGTAACCTGGAGCAACATATGAGATTGCATACAAATGAGAAGCCATACAACTGCAAAATTTGCAGCGAGGCCTTCCCATCCGTAAGCGAGCAGGTGAAACACATCAGAAGACATGCAAAGGAGAAATCATACAGATCTGAGATTTGCAATAAGTCCTTTTTTCTGAAAGATAACCTCGTGCAACACATGGAAGTGCATCCAAACGAAAAGCCTTATGGCTGCGCAGTTTGCAGCAAGGCCTTCTCTCGTAAATATGTTCTTATGGAGCACCTGAGAGTACATACGAAGGAGAAGCCATACACATGTGATATTTGTAATAAGTCCTTTTCATACAAAAGTGCTTTGATGAGGCACATGAGAATACATACAATGGAGAAGCTACACAGCAGAGAGGTATGCGATAAAGCCTTCTTGCAGAAAGGTAATCTAGCAGAACACTTAGAGGGCACATGCAAAGGAGAAGCGATGTAGCTACGAAATTTCTCTTCTCTCTCTCTCTCTAAAAAAAAAAAAAAAAAAAAAAAAGTGAATCATATGCGTATACAGCGTTTTGCATGGAAGAAAACTATTTTAGCGTACGCAAGATCATAGGTCTGATATATACCTTTAATCGAATAAATATATCGAATCTGTAAGGAACACGCTTGTACTTGACAGTATTGGAGAAGAATCATTCTAGATTTTCAAGTACATAATATTTGTAAAGTGCCCTTTTGAATAAATTCTGGTAGAGTTTTCTTTGTTATGACCTGTGTTTTAGTCTCCATATGTTCCAAAACAGATATAAGTGGTTGAGTAAATTTATATATAAATCTGTATATCTATCCATACATATATCATAAATATATATATATATATATATATATATATATATATATATATACATACATATACATACACATACACACACACACACGCACACGCATACGCACACATACACTTACACGCACACACACACGCACACACACACACACACACACGCACACACACGCGCGCACACACACACACACACACACACACATATATATATATATATATATATATATATATATATATATATATATGTATATACATATATACATATGCATATACATGTTAATAATGATAATAAGAATAATGTTAATAATTATAATAATAATAATAATGATGATAATAATAATCAAGTAATGGCGATGATGATGGCAATATTAATAATAATAACGATTGTAATTATTGTAATGCTAGCAATGATATCAATGGTGAAATTTATATTGATCATTATAAAATATATATTACCGATAATGGTTATAAAGATAGTACTGATAACAAGGATTAGGACACTAGAATGCTAAATGAGAGTAATAACAACAAGGATTTTTTTATTGATAATGGCAACAATAACAATAGTAATCATAATCATAACAATGGTAATCATTGGCAAGAGATACAAATACTATAATCATTAACACTATTAAAAGCAATTAATAGTGGTAGTGATGGTAGGAATAAAAAAATTATCAAAATTGGTGATAATAAGGACGATTATTATAAGAGTGAAAAATAAGGAGAACCATATGAATTATGATAACAATTTGATTATAATAATAATTATGAAAAAATTCATAATATCAAAATCAATAAAGTAAATGCGATATAGTAACGATAATGATAACAATAATAATGGTAGTAATGATAACAATACAATTAACAATAAAAATGCAACAATAATGCTAACAGTAATAATGATAGTTTTAAAAAATCTGAGAATAAAAAGGATGATGATGATGATAACGATAGACATGACAATAAAAAGAATGATAACGACAATAGTAATAACAATATTATTATTATCATTATTATCCAGGTTAAGACATTAATAATAATTGCATTGAAAATATTGCCATTCATGATAACATTTAAAAACGTTTTTGAATGTTGACTACGCTGATGAAGATAATGGTCAAGAAAATGAAAATGATAATGAAACCAATAATGAATATAATGATTAAGAGGATAATAAAATTATTACTTAAAATTGGTGGTATTGATGAAGATAATGATTTAGATTATAATTTAATTTTTACTTATGAAGAAAATGAAGAGAATAAGTTTTAAAATGTTATTAATGATAATGATAACAACAATAATAATTATCATTATGATAACAAGTGTTAATAGATGTAGATATAATACTTTTAACAGAAGTCAATATTGTTAGTGACATAGATAATAAGTCATTATATTAGCATTAATGATAAAAAGGATAGAAGAAAACATTAATTATAATAACAATCTTCTTATGAATCATAATAGGATTAATAA